GAATACAAAGTATACACTACTCACTTTATATTATGTTTATTACAAAAATTTGCACTGTAAAAATCATTAAAGAAATAGTATTTTTCAATTCACTTCATACAAGTAGCGTAGTGCAATCTCTTTATCATGAAAGCACAACTTACAAATGTAAAAATTTTTTGTTACATAACTGCACTCAAAAACAAAACAATGTAAAACTTTAGAGCCTACAAGCCACTCAGTCCTACCTCTTGTGAAGCCAGTCGCTAAGGGTATGTTTTCACTACCAGCCGGATCAGCAGGCAGTGATCAATCCAGCGGGGATCGATTTTATTGTGTCTAGTCTGGACGCGATAAATCGATTCCCGAGTGCTCTCCCGTTGACTCCTGTATTCCAGCTCAGTGAGAGGTGCAGGTTGAGTCAACGGGGGTAGTGTCAGCAGTCGACTCACCGTAGTGAAGACACCGCAATAAGTAGATCTAAGTACGTCGACTTCAGCTACGTGAATAACGTAGCTGAAGTTGCGTAACTTAGATTGATCCCTCCCCCCATTGTAGACCAGACCTAAGACAAACAAGTTTGTTTACATTTACAGGAGATAATGCTGCCCACATATTTACAATGTCATGTGAAAGTGAGAACAGATGTTCGCATGACACATTTGTACCGGCATTGCAAGGTATTTATGTGCCAGATATGCTAAACATTCATGCTTTGGCCACCAGTCCAAAGGACGTGCTTCCATACTGATGATGCTCTGCCATATATTCCATGTTATAGCAGTCTCAGATGATGACCCAGCATGTTGTTCGTTTTAAGAACACTTTCACTGCAGATTTGACAAAACTCAAAGAAGGTGCCAATGTGAGATTTCTAAAGATAGCTACAGTATTCGACCTAAGATTTAAGAATCTGAAGTGCCTTCCAAAATCTGAGAGGGACGAGGTGTGGAGCATGCTTTCAGAAGTTTTAAAAGAGCAACACTCTGATGCGGAAACTACAGAACCTGAACCACCAAAAAAGAAAAATCAACCTTCTGCTGGTGACATCTGACTCAGATGATGAAAATGAACATACGTTGTTCTGCACTGTTTTGGATCGTTATCAAGCAGAACCCATCATCAGCATGGACGCATGTCCTATGGAATGGGGATTGAAACATAAAGGGACATATGAATCTTTAGCGCATCTGGCACGTAAATATCTTGCGATGCTGGCTACAACAGTGCCATGAGAACGCCTGTTCTCACTTTGGGTGACATTGTAAACAAGAAGCAGGCAGCATTATCTCCTGCAAATGTAAACAGATTTGTTTGAGCGATTGGCTGAACAAGAAGTGGGCTTGTAGGCTGTAAAGTTTTACATTGTTTTATTTTTTAATGCAGTTATTTTTTGTACATAACTCTACATTTGTAAGTTCAAGTTTCATGATAAAGAGATTTCACTACAGTACTTGTATTAAGTGAATTGAAAAATTATTTATTTTATTTTTACAGTGCAAATATTTATAATAAAAATAAATATAAAGTGAGCACATTACACTTTTTATTCTGTGTTGTAATTGAAATCAATATATTTGAAAATGTGGAAAACATCCAAAAATATTTATATACATTGTATTCTATTGTTTAACAGTACAATTAATCATGATTAATTTTTTTAATCACTTGACAGCCCTACTATCTACATATTTTTAATCTGTTCCCCCTTGTTGTTAATATTGTCTTAAGCATTTGGTCACAAACAACCTTTTTAGTGAAGACTGCAGCAAAATAGGTTTTTCACACCTCAGCCTTCTTGATGTCATCCATCAAGGGGGGAGGGATAGCTCAGTGGTTTGAGCATTGGCTTGCTAAACCCAGGGTTGTGAGTTCAATCCTTGAGGGGGCCACTTGGGGATCTGGGGCAAAATCAGTACTTGGTCCTGCTAGTGAAGTCAGGGGGCTGGACTCGATGACCTTTCAAGGTCCCTTCCAGTTCTAGGAGATGGGATATCTCCATTACTAGCTCTAATTCCCTGCTGCTAAATAATGGACTTAAATTTTCCTTTGTCTCTCTCTTGTCCTTAATGTACTTATAGAACCTCTTCTTAACTGTTATGTCCCTTGCTAGGTGTAACTCATTTTGTGCTTTAGCCTTTCTGATTTTGTCCTGACATGCCTTTACCATTCTTTTGTATTCATCCTTAGCAATTTATTCACGTTTCCCCTCTTTGTAGGATTCCTTTTTGATTTTCACATTATTAAAGAGCATATTGGCCTCTTACTGGTTTTCCTATCTTTCCTTATCATTGTGAGAGTTTGCTCTTGTGTCTTTAATATTGTGTCTCTGAGAATCTGCCAATTCTCCCAAACTCCTTTTTCCATTAGATTTTCTTTTCATGGAACCTTACCTACTAGTGCTCTCAGTTCGTCTTTTTTTTTTTTTAAGTCCATTGTCCTTATTGTGGTGCTTTTACTTCTTTCTCTCCTTAGAATCATGAAATCGATCATTTCACTGTCACTTTCACCCAAATTGTCTTCTACCTATCTTTCTACCTTCAGATTAATAACCACAAAAAATAACTGTTTGTCAGAATCAAGCCTAGACTGGCTGCCACTGGATACCTCCTTCACCTTTTTAATAGTCTGTAAAGATATTAATATCTCTGTATGTAAGTTATGACTATACAGTTTAGGGTCATTGACTGGCCAATTTTGAGACGAAGTTTTTTCTGATTTTGATTGCTGGGTGGACAGTGATGAGGACAGAGTTCAGGTAGCGTGTTTAATTGCAATATGTACATGTTATTGAGTTACTGTGGTTTGATTACAGATTTTTAAATGGTTTGCCTTTGTGTATGTAAACTTTAAAATGTTCTTAGATTGACCTGTGTGACCTGTTCTTTCTCTTGGCATATAATATATGTAGGTTCAAACAGCCTATATTATTCACTTGTGACCCTAATAAAAATGTTCTTAGAAAAGAAAGTCAGGAAGAAAACGGAAAGAATTGCCAATTGAACTTATACATTCCTTAATATTGAGCAATTTGGCTTGATTATAAACTCTGTGGGGAGCAGGACCATCTTTTTGTTCTGTGTTTGTACAACATTTAAAGTACAGTGGGGTCTAGGTCCATGATTAGGCCTCCTAAGTGCTATGGTAATATTAATACTAATAATTAATAAAGAATTGATGCTGCTCACACTGTCACCCTTGATTTAGGCCTCCCAAAGCCAGCTCTCTTTGTTTCAATCATCCTAATTGAAAAGTGTTTCATACTGCCCCCACAGTATCTGGCTTCAAGACTAAGCTTGATAAGTTTATGAAAGGGACAGTATGATCGGATAGCCTAATTTTGGCAATTAATTGATCTTTAACTATTAGCGGTAAATATGCCCAATGGCCTGTAATGGGACACTAGAGAGGGTGGGATCTGAGTTACTACAGAGATTTCTTTCTGGTGTCTGGCTGGTGAGTCTTGCCCACATGCTCAAGGTTTAGCTGATCGTCATATTTGGGGTTGGGAAGGAATTTTCCTCCAGGGCAGATTGGCAGAGGCCCGGGGCGGGGGGGTTGCCTTCCTCTGCAGCATAGAGCACGGGTCACTTGCTGGAGGATTCTCTGCACCTTGAAGTCTTTAAACCACAAGTTGAGGACTTCAGTAGCTCAGACATAGGTCAGAAGTTTATTACAGGAGTGGATGGGTGAGATTCTATGGCCTGCGTTGTGCAGGAGGTCAGACTAGAAGATCATGATGGTCCCTTCTGACCTTAAAGTCTGAGTCTATGAGGCAATAGCGCTTATTGGACCAGCTTCTGTTGATGAAAGAGAGACACTTTCAAGGTCCACAGAGCTCTTCTTCAGGTCTGGGAAAGGTACTCAGAGTGTCACAACTAAATACAAGGTGGAACAGATAGTTATGTCTGGGCATCATCCTTCAATATATTTTAAAGAACCATCTCGCACAGTAGCATAGAACCCAACAGATTAGAAAATCAATCCTTGAATCAGTTCATTGAACACTTTGGAAGATGTCAGGTATAGCTGTACTCCATTGCTATTGTGAAATAGCCATGAAATCATTATTAAGGCAGACAAAAGGGGGAGGATTCATGTCTTTTCACACTTACGAAACTGGCTATATTAGCCAGTCCCTAGATATGTCACCAGAAGTTTCTGGAGGTGCACTAGTAGTGATAAGCTTGGAAGGAAGGAGGATTTCTGGTTACTGGAGGATGGGGTGGAGCAAGTCTCAAACAATCCCTCCTAGGTAGCTCCATTCTCTTTCTCCATCCAACCTTCCCAATGTGACCTGCCTTATCCTGCTCACAGCTCTCGGTTGACCTCCGCCCATGTTTATGACCAGCAGCAGTAAAGTGGATTACAATGGGGAAATCAGGATTAGAAGATAGAGGGATGACCTGGCATAGTGCTGGTAGCAGTAGGAAGAGAGTAGGGAGACGGATGAGGAGATTAGGCTGTTAGTCTGTCAGACAGGACGAGGTGGTTGGGGTTTCTGATGTCTGCAGGAGTATTTAGGATGTCCTCCATATTTAGGGAAAGGATGGTGAGTCTCCTGCTGGTGCGGAGAGGAGTTGAAGTTGAGTCTTCACAGCAATAAAGGATGTTGAAATCTATCTAGCTGACTTCCTAGCATAGGAAACGAGATATACGCACCTTAAATGTTTAAAAAAGCATGATGTGACCATTAGTATGGTATTTCAGAAAGCTTACTTTGATGCCTCACTGTTTTATATCTGTGTGAATATTAGTGCATTTAAACCATCTCTCCATTTCTAAGGAGATTTATTGAAGTTTGTCTTTGGTAAAGTCAGAATGTATTTGTGGCATCTGCAATTTCCGGTTATGTAAAACTGAAATTGAGAACTGTTCTTCTGCATTTTATGTTTATAGCATGTGTGTATCGTGTGTTTAGGTTGGCATATAATCTGTGTAAAGAGACATTTTTAAAGCTTTTATATCTTCTGTAAAAATTAAACGCTGACTATTTTTTCCATGGATTTTTGTATTTACAGGGGAGTTTGACACAGTACAGAGCCCCTCAACACCGATCAAAGATCTTGATGAGAGAACGTGTCGGAGTTCTGGGTCAAAGTCTCGGGGTAGAGGGCGGAAGAATAATCCATCACCCCCTCCGGACAGTGACTTGGAGGTATGTCCTCTGGTAACTGATGAATGGTAAACTGAAGGTAGATTCAGCACATTAAAGCAGTGGAAACTGTTTAAAGCTTTAAAAATATGGCATGAACCATATGAATCATTAATTGAAAGTACTAGATTTCTAGCAGTTACTTTACATTTATACAATATGGGGCAGATACAGTGTATACATGAATACACTGAAAGTAAGATCGTGTCAACATGATACATACATGCATATTGTCTCTTCCAATTTAACGTGGAATAGATCTACAAAACAATTTAAGGGTTTTGTTCATATTTTTTCTGATTAACTTCTATTTTGTGTATTGTTTAACTTTCTTTTTTAAAATAAGAACATTCAAATGTATCAATCCAATTATCTACATATTCAGTGTAAAAATATGCATTACAAAAAGGAATGCATAAGTATGAGACATCCGTACTTGGCCCTAATCCTGCAAACACTTAAGGACTACTTTAACTTTACCCCTGTAAGTAGTGTCATTGACTTCAGTAGTTATGCACCACTATTTGAGAGATCAAGGCTGTAGCAAAGAAATATATCTGCTTAAGGTACAAGATGAAGTTTTAAAACACAAGTGTCCTAGGAGTGGAGTGATTATATTCTTGTTAGCCCTGTGTTAGCAGTGTTCTGACATAGTGTGACAGAAGGAGAACAACACTCATTGTATGCATGGTATATTCCAGCACTGGGATCAGAGAAATGTTCTGCACATTTGTGTGATGTGCTTCCTCCCACTGTGATACTGGCACTCTGCTAATATCATTGGACTGCTCCACCCCCTGTTTATGTAGTACATATCTCCATATATATCACCAGAAATCAACTTTGTTATCACTTGGCTATTCCAGCCCCTGCATCTCTACTGGAGGGACAGGTTGACTGTAGCACTTAGCATCAATCTCAGATGCCATAGCTTTTTGTACAGAGGGCGAGGAATTTTATCCTGATTTTGGACGAACTGTCTGATTATTTTTTTTGTAGTTTTCCACAAACTATTTTTTTAAATTAACCAGTTGTAATTTTTTACATTTATGGGAAGATTTCCATTTTCCTTTCCTTAGTTTCATTTTCAGAAAAAAAACAGCCTCTTATCAACACTAAGAAATTTTCCTTAAAAAGTTAAAATAAGACATTTTGTCCAAAAATATTATTTAAATTCCTTATTCCATGTGAATTACTGTGGCATAATAGTACTTGGGGCATGTAAAACTAGCACTAGGAGTTGATATTATCTCTATTGGAGAAACCCATTGAAATCAGTGTGAGTTGCACATAAGAATCTGAGAGTGGAATTTATCCTTAAATTAATAGCTCTTTACAACAAAGTAATTGACCCAAAGTATACTGACATCTGTAGTATGTTAGAGAGACAAAGTGGATGAGATAATATCTTTTATTGGACCAGTAAAATATTCTATAGTATGTGACATATTTGAAACCTTGTAAAGGTTGTAGAGTAATTAAAAGATTGGAAAGTATTGAAGAGCTTAATGTCCTCAATGTTTTTTATAGATCATCTTAAGATATACTGTCAATGCTGATTTTCAGAACAAACCTACTCACTTAAGGGCTTATTTAAAGTACAGGACATGACTGATTTTTATTTTGGATCATAAATCTTATTTCCTGATTACATTACTGATTTTGTCTCCATTTCTGTTTTCAGCGTGTATTTGTTTGGGATTTGGATGAAACTATCATCGTTTTTCATTCGCTGCTTACAGGATCCTATGCACAAAAATATGGCAAAGTATGTGACTCATTAATTCAACAGTAGTTTCAGACTATCGATACACTTGGCATTTTTACTGTGCTTTTCATTTTCAGTGTGCCTTACAAAACTTAATTAACATTCATATGCCCTGGTGAGGGAGGGAGGTGAATAGTATTAACTCCATTTTACAGACTGGGAATCTGAGGTACAGAAGTTGTGATTTACCCAAATGGAGCAGCCAAGGGGACAGATGAGGTGCTTACCCTTAGGTAAGATGTGAGGTCCAATACAGGTAGAATTGCTGAGGTAGGTGCTATAGCTGTAAGGAGGAGGCTTCATTGAGTGAGAGGTGCTGAAGTTTCTGGTGCAGCTTTGAAAAGCTGTTGCAAATGGGTACTAAATTTGGTGGGAAAGGGGAAATAACTGATAAATTTGGAAACAGGGTGGGGAAAGGGAATGAGTAAATTGGATGATGAAAAAGGAAATGGAACTGATGAATTTGCAGGGAAAGGAAAAATGTTAAGTCAGAGTAAACGGGTGGGGGGCAGACCTGTCTAACCTTCAGCTTTAGGGTGGAGGCTCTGGGTTTATGATGTACTCTCTGACACCTCAGCCTTCCTGGTGAGTCGCTGGTGTTCTTGGATGGCTGTTGGGTTGGGCAAAGCCGCTGGCTGACACACTCTCTGCTGCAAATCAGTTATTTCAATGTACACAACTACTCCCCTCTCTGCCACTGAGAAATCCAAAGGTTGCTGGAGAAGAAGCCAAGAACAGGGAGCAATGAGCAGCCAGCAGTGACAGGAGAGAGAGGGAGAAGCAACCCAGAAGTAGTAGCAACAGGAATTTCCTTACCTACTGAGCAAGGAACATTTTATACAGATTTTCTTCAGGGTTTTTGCTGCACTGACATTGGCAGGGCTGATGGCAGAATGAATGCTGATGATTTGGGTGGGGGTGGCAGCTTAGAAGATAGAGAAGTCCATGAATTTCAGGGTAGCATGGTTATGTGAAACAGGTGTGGGGCTGTGAGAAAGAGGGAGAGAGAAAAAGCGACAGGTGTGAAGCATGTTTCTGTTAATAAAAAGAAAAGAGGGAAGAGAGTTTGGCGTTAATGCACATGCGGAGGTGTTTGCAGGCGTATGTGCATGAATATGTGTATTTGAAGACACAGGTAGTTGTTTCTCCTGGTGTTTATGAAAAGGGTAAGCTAGTAAATTTTTGTCTGTCATGGAAACTCATCAGCTCAGTTCTGGAATGCTAAAATAAGATTAGCTATTCGGCTCTGGTACGAATAACACTTGTTTTACACCTTCACAGTGCCAAATCAGTGCATGTTATACTGTTTTGCCACTTATATTACCGTACATCCTACACACTCTTCTAATGCTATTTTTACAAAAAATATAATTCTATTCACTTTGACAAAATTACTCCTTTTTTATACCTCTGTAAGTGAGAGAAGAATCAGACCAAACATGCAACTTACATCATTTATATCACCATTGAATGTGGAGTTGCTATACTTGACCCAATGATTCAGTTACTTGTAATTTTAATCCAAGTGTGCTTGCAGCCTTTTGGATGGTATAACTATTCTGATGCAATATTTTTCTCCATCACAGATATTAACAATTAAGAAATTATTTATCATTATAGGTGCAAAGCTTTTTAAATTGAAATATGTTACAGAGCTATCACTCCTTTCTGGATAACTTTGAAAAGTATTCTAGACAGAGATATCTTTTTGATTTCCTTCTCTTGGGTTTTTTTCTTCCTTCCTCCCCTCCCCCCTCCCCCCCCCCAATATCTGTAGGGACATTTAGATGAAAACAGCATCACTGCTTTGTAAAAACTCATCTGCTCTTGCAATTTATTCCCCATCGAAAGCCAGAATATGTGGTAATGACTATTTACAGCAACCAGTTGTGATATCAGATAGAGATTATGAATTTATTTCCATGGGTCCGGAGTAACTCAAGTGAAAGTGAAATTAATTGATTTATGCTACTGAGATTAGAATCAGGATCCAAGACTTCAAGTGACGATGACCCACGACAGAGGATTTCTTAAATAAAAAAGCTCCTGTTTTCATACTGCTAGACATAGTAAAATAAAAATCATAGGGACACAGAGTCATTCCCAGAGTAAATTAAGAAATGGCAGATATTTTCTTTTCTAGAGCAGTTATCTTCCTAGTATTATGGTAAACATATTTGGATGATGATGTATCATTGAGCCTCAAATATGTAGTAAATTCTTGTCTAATATTTTATATGTTACTTCATATATTCTTTTTTTATATGGAGGAAGGATGGTTCATTGGTTAGGGCACTAGACTGAGGCTTGGGAGACTGTGTTTCAAGTCCTTGCCCAAATCACTTAGCCTCTCTGTGCCTTAGATCACCATCTGTAAAATGGGGATAATCATCCCTACCTTGAAGTGGTGGTGTGAGGGTGAATACATTAAAGATAACGAGGCACTTGGATATTATGGTAATAGAGGCCATATAATTACCTAAAATCTAGTTATACTTCATTGTTTCAAAAAACATCTTGGGCATTGATCCTTTCTTGTGATTGTGCTCCTCCAGTGGCATAAAGTTGGTTTAAGGCCAGTTTAAACAGCCGGTGGTATAGAATTAAAGCAGTGAGTCCTACACTTTCCCCTGTATTGTCTCCTAGTATTGAGGGCAGCACAGCTCCCAACCTGTGCCTTGATGTGTGGCTTTAAACTGTCAGAGTACTTTACCCTGTGTCCCCTGAGTCTCAACTCTTTTTGTAAATATGTTTTTACTGTATATTGTGTTGTCTTTTATTGTTTAATAAAACAAATTTTCTCCCAAAAGAGAAAATATAAGATAAAATGAGACAGAAGGACAAGGGTCTCTCAGTACGTTTTTCAAAGTTTTCTAGTGAGTGATTAGAATGGTGCTACTATAAATAGGGAGAGAGCATTTTATGGTGAACAGAGTGGTCAAATTGCATTTTCAAGGTGTGAAATTCTGGGATTATACTGGTACTTAGCTGGACCATTTTCCAGGGTTTCACCTTTGTTCTACTATTCTAACATTTATACAGGCACTCTGAATGTGCAGATGGATATATATATACACACCCTCAACTATTCCCCATCTAAACACATCTGCCATCTCTTGTTCTTCTCTTTGCCCTATTTCTTGCTGTGACCAGGGGGAAACAAAATATATATCTTTTAGGCCTTAGTGCTCTATTGTCATTATGGCTGTGCATGGAAGTGCACAGAGTAGAGAGCCAACTTAGCTCAGTGTCACCGTCAGACTGGCAAACTGTTTGTATGCAAGGTCAGTACAGAGCCATAGAGGGACCAGCAGATTAAAAATTTTCTTTTAAATCTCACCCTCCTTCTCCGCAGGCAGTAGCCTAAGGGAGAAGAGAACGGTGATCCTGATTTCATTTTGGACTTCTATATGGGACTGCAATCAGAAAATCATAGAAATCTAGAACTGTGGAAGGGGTCATCTAGCCCAGTCCCCTGAACTGAGGCAGGACTAAGTAGTATCTAGACTGTCCCTGACTGGTGTAATATAAATAATAGTAGTAGTAGTATTAACAAACTGTGACAGATTGAATGAAGATTTTTTTAACATTATGAGCAAGATTGTAAATGTCTCATTAAAATATATGGCAAATTGCTTCTTCATGGGAGGGAGCCAATTGAAAGACTAGCTTGCAGTTTTCCCTTGAAGCGAGAGAGGCTTTGCATGTTTGAGTTTGGTCAGTGCAGAGCTACAAGAGATCACTTAATTGTGACTTTTTAATTAATTGTCTGATTTTTTTTTTTATTGGACTTTCCAGAGTTAATTATTTTATGTTCTCTAAATATGTCTGTCTTTCAGCTTGTAAGGTAAGGTTACTTTGCTCATCTCATTTGTTGATGCTCTTCATGCACCATAAAATTAGTACACTTCTATTTTTAATTATTTACTGCAGTAGCAAATTATGATCATTGGTATCTGAGCTGTTCGGTTATGACCTGTGTGGCTGATGATGGTTTTTGCAGCTGAGCACCAGTTGGCACATATAGTTTTCTACAATGCTAAACTCTTAAATAAGGATTTGTTGATGTGACAGGACATGTGTTAGGAGACTGTCATCATCTGTTAAATTTTATGAAGTACATTCCTGTTCTCTTATTAACAATATGTATTCTTCTCTCTATTATGTCCCAGTGATTTCTCACTGTTTTGTAGCTGAATAAGCTATACTTAGTGTTAGCATTTCTAACGTGGTAAAATCATTTATTTCTTTAAAGTCAATCCAAAGGGCAAAGATGCTCCAAAAATACCATAAGTCAAAGTTCAGGCTGGTAAAAAAGAATGACTGCCTTTCATGGCACTGCAGAAGAAAAAGTCTTAGTTCTCCAAACTTGAACGTGTGTTACGGAGAATTCAGGATGATGATTTAGACAGCCTTAAAAAAAAGTGCAAAATGTGACAGTACAATTCAACAGACCAAACCCTACAGTATATTTTAAGAGAAAAGTCAAAATTCTACTCTATGGTGAAAGTGTATGGAACCTGCCAACTTTTTTATCAAGTAGATAAGCACTGTTACAATTTGAGTCATATGTAAGCTAGTGCCAAAATGTATTAGGCTTTTTTTGACAATTTTCTGATTTTTCTAATCCACCTACATCTTTTAGTTGTTTCCAGTTAATACCTCTTATTATTAATTATTATTATTATTTATTATTATTATTCAGTGTACAAGGGGCTCAGGGGATTGATTATTGCTGGGGCCCTACCAAATTCACAGTCTATTTTGGTCAATTTCACAGTCTTGGGATTTTTTAAATAATCAGTCTCACTGTTTCAGATGTTTACATCTGAAGTTTCATGGTATTGTAACCGTGGGGGTCCTGACCCAAAAGGGGTCATGGGATTGCACTCTTACGTTTGCACTGCTGCTGGCGGGCGGCGCTGCCTTCAGAGCTGGGTGGCCAGAGAGCAGTGAGGTCGCAGGGTATGGGGAGGTTGTTACTTGGGTTAGGAGGCAGG